ACTTTAATGAATCTTGCTTTCCTTTTCGTACTCTTTTTCAGCCTGCATTTGAGTCTTTTTCTTTTTCTTCTTTACATCAGTTTTTTTGGTCTTCCCCTACTTTGTCTTCTAGGTAGCTCAGTCCTGTTACCAATCAAACCAAGTCTGCTACCCTGCCACACAGACCTGCTTCTCTGCCTTCTACTGTTCGGCAACCCAAGACTGCCGCTTCTCCTATGCTGTAACCCAGGTCTGCTACCCTATAGCCCAGGTCTGCTCTTCTGCGTTCTACTGGTCTACAGTACAGGTCTGCTGGATCTCCAGTGTTGCAATCTAGGTTTGCTACCCTGTAGCCTAGCCCTCATCCTCTGTCTTTCCCTTTATATCTTCTTTCTGCAGGATCACAGCCTAGTGCTGACCAACCTAGCTCTCTTTTGCCATCCCCTCGTCCAGCTTCACAGGTTTCCTCTGTCTCCCTGCAGCAGCCTATCCCTATCCACTCCATTGCCATTCAACTCCTTTTACATCCTCCACCTAAAACTCTCAACTCTCATCCTATGATCACTCGGTCTAAAGTTTCTTTTTCAGCCTTCACACCAGCCTTAAAAGCCTACTTCTTTTCCTGCTTTTAAAGATAGTGAACCACCCTCTTACAAAGAAGCTTTTTTATCACCTATTTGGCTTCAAGCTATGCAAGAGGAAATGAATGCCTTGCATGCTCAACACACTTGTTCTCTTGTTTCTCTTCCTTCTCAAAAACAAGCCATATGATGCAAATAGGTATTTAAAGTTAGGAGAAATTCAGATGGTAGTGTTGCCAGACACAAAGCCAGATTGGTGGATAAGGGTTATCTTCAACAACATGGTATTGATTTTCAAGAGACTTTCAGTCCCGTTGCCAAACAACCTACTATTCGCATTTTCTTGTGTCTTGCCCTTCATAATCACTGGCCCTTGAAACAATTGGATATTTCAAATGCTTTTCTTCATGGTTTGCTTGAAGAAGAGGTGTTTATACTTCAGCCTCCTGGTTTTGTGTTCTCTTTTTCTCCAACTCATGTTTGTAAGCTTCACAAAGCTTTGTATGGCCTCAAGTAGGCCCCTTGGGCTTGGTATTCTACCTTTTCAGCCTTTCTCTTATCTCAGGGATTTTTTAACAGTAAATGTGATTCTTCTTTGTTCATTCAGAAGACTACTACCACTATCACTTTTCTTTTGGTTTATGTGGATGACATTTTGCTCACTGGTAATGATTCTTCTCATCTTCAATCCCTTATTACCAAGATGCATCAAGTTTTTTCCATGAAAGAATGAGGAGATATCTCCTATTTTCTTGGTATTTCTATCCAAGGTTCTCCATCTTCTAGCTATTTTTTATGTTAGCACAAGTATGCTCAAGACATTCTTACTAAGGTTGGTTTATCTGATTGTAAACCATGCTCTTCTCCTATTGTTGTTAAACCTACTTCTCAGCCTCATTCTACAGACCCTTGTTCTAATCCCACACTCTATCACAGTTTGGTGGGTGTTTTGCAATATCTTACCATTACGAGGCTGGATTTATCTCTTGTTGTCAATCAATGTTGTCAACATATGCATGCCCCTACCATTGGTCATTTCTCTGCTGTTAAACGGCTTCTTCACTTTGTCAAAGGTACCCTTTATCATGGTTTACAATTTTCTCCTAGCACTTTTGATGTTCATGCCTTTTTTTACTCCAATTGGGCCGGGGATGTTCTTCACCGAAAGTCTACCTCTGGTTATTGTATTTTCTTGGGTTCCAATGTTATTTCTTGGCCTGCCAAGAAACAAGCTACTATTTCTCGAAGTTCTACTGAGACTGAATACCGAGCCCTTGCTCACACCACTGCTGAGCTCACCTGGATACTTATGTTGCTACATGATCTTGGTATTACACTTACTACTCTTCCTATCCTCTGGTGTGATAATGTCTCCGCAATTGCTCTATCATCTAATTCGGTGTTTCATTCTCGATCAAAGCATATAGAAGTTGATTGTCACTTCATTCGTGACAAAGTTCTTGCTAAGCAGTTGCATTTGCAATACATTCCTACCATAGACCAGTTGGCTGATATCTTCACTAAACCCTTGTCTGTTGGTCGTTTCTCTTATCTCAAATGCAAGCTCATGGAGTTTAGTCACCCTATCAGCTTGTCGGGGCCTAATAAGATATCAGCTATATCAGATAAGGATAGCTGCATCACTAATGATGGAGATGCACTCACAGCATCACAGCCTCAGACTACATCACAACATCAGACTATAGTCAGTTAGAGTTTGTTAGTATGGTTGTTAGAGTGTATGCGTATGGGAGTTAATTGTAATTGTTCTAGAGGTGTATATATACACCATGTAAATGTCATTACAGGGTATGGAAGATATGAATTGAATAAACAAGTATTTCATCAATGTCACTGAACTGTTGCATTCGGTAATATCTTTATACTGTTTGGTCATTGTTATTTAGGTTAGTGTGTAACTAATTTTGTCTATACATATATCTGTAGTTGCAAAATGAGGCTTTAAACTTGGCTTGCAGATTTGTTGTACATAAATTCAATAAGAATGACCCGAATTCTATTCCCAAACTGGCATTTTAGAATGGGAGTTCTTAAATGTGATTCATTGATGTTATTGACTTTTATTTTTTTATTTTTTTCCCTCTTTGGAGGACTCCTTGTTGTCCCGTTTATCTTGTACTTTTCTTCTTTTGTAATAAAATTTATATTGTTGCCAATCAAAAAAATACATATTTATTTTGATTTCCCAACATTACAAAATACACACACAATCATACAAACATTATCTACAACACCATGCATTTGTTACATTACATACATGCACAACATCACATTTGCAATTACTGGTAAAACCCAAACCCGTGAAAATATTACAACATTAACCAACAAAACCATGTGTCTATCACATTACAAACATATATAATATCACATTTGCAATTAATGGTAAATCCCAAACCTACGACGTGAACAACGTCACCTAAAACCCCACATGACGCACCAATACAAAAACCATTTCGAGTATCGACCTTGATGTCGTATTGTCAACAAAACTAACATCGAAGACACTCATACTTGTTGTTATCGCACTAACACACGATTAACGATACCGTCGACGGATTAATTTTAAATCATTGACGTTACGTCCTCAATGTTAATTGCACTCTAAGATGGCCTAGTGCCCACGCCGCTTTGCCTCTGTAAATTTGATAGAAGGGGTTTCCATGATTTTCTAGGGTTTTTTGGGATTTTGTAATGTTATTTGGGGAATAACGAATTCTAGGTATAATGTTCCCAAATCCAGCATTCAACTCGCACAAACTGAGGATCAACACAACAACATCGTCAAGGAAACATTAACGTTCCCATTTTTGAGCTTCCGTTTTGTTCACAATAGAGGGAAAAGGAAAAAAAAATGCTATAGTATACTTCTGGACTTTTTGGTAACTACAACCTCACCTAAACACCCAATATATCCCTCCAAACAGCCAACCCATGCGTAACATTCATAGGCTCAAGTGTAATTAATATTAATATGAGACCAATCAGTCTACAAAATAATTTGTAGAACTAAATGGTTCAAACTATCTAAACTTGGGATTTATTAGTGTTTTTTCCTTAGAATTAATTGTGATCTAGAATATAATTAAATTAAAATTTGAATAAAAAGTTATGAATTCTAATATATAATTAAAAATTTATAAGTGCTGTGACTTAATTGAATTAATGTTAGACATTATAAATTATGTATATGCGAGAGGAGAGGGAAATAAAATAACCAAAAACGTTTAGAATTAATGTTGGTCTTCTCACATCTATCGTTAACGTGTTAACAGTTGTATTTTGGTCCAAAATCATATGAGGATTTTCTGACTATATTTGAATGATAGAGGGGTAAAGTGTTTTTATCTCAAACCACAAGGGAGTAAAATAAATTTTACCATATATATTTTCATATCCATTACAAAATAAACTTGTATAAGAATAAATTTTTTTGGGTAAATTATGCAAATGATCTCTATAATTTACACGATGTGTCAATTTAGTCCATGTTATTTTAATTTTCTCGATTTTGCCCTTTAATTTAACAGATTGTGTCATTTTAGTTCATTAAATAACGGTTGTTAAGTTTGGTAGACGAAAAGTCTACATAATATGTCAATTTGATCCCTGTAGTTTACACAATGTGTCAATTTGGTCCCTGTTGTTTTAATTTGCTCGATTTTGACAGGTACCCAATTGACACATTGTGTAAACTACAGAGACCAAATTGACACATAGTTTGACTTTCTGTCTATCAAACTTAACAACCGTTATTTATTGGACTAAAATGATACAATCTCTTAAATTAAGGGGCAAAATCGAGCAAATTGAAATAACATGGACCAAATTAACACATCATGTAAACTATAGGGACTATTTATATAATTTACCCAATTATTTATCTCACTATTTCAACTTAAACAATCCTACAATAATCCCATACATTGTTAATCTTCTCATAAAACATGGCTTCATGGTCATCAACATAATTTCTGTTGCGCTTGGGAAGGTCTAAATCAGAACATTTTGCAAGGCACGTAGAAGTAGACGTCTCTAAAGTTAGTTGTTTGGTTCGGTATAGTTTGTTTAAGTTGTTTATATATTTTTTTAAATTTATTTTGAGAATTTGTGTAAGATTCTTTAGTACAACTTTTAGTATAATTTATTAGATATAAATAATTTCAATGAATTAAAATAAGTTAATTATCTAGAAGTTGGAAAGTGTGTTTTTGACTTTTACTTTACAATAACATACACCAAATAATTTAACAAACCTATTAAATTGTTAACTACTAAGTCATTTACAAGATTAAGCTGTCAAAGAGAAAGAGAACTATATTTTTTGTATTATATCCTCAACAGTGAAGAGGACATGTTATGGGAATCTTTGCCTATAAAAACCTTAGCCATGCAAAATTTTAGTCAGTGTGCCCTTAAACACATACACTAATTAACACCATGGCTTCTACGAATCATTTCCAATGCATGTTCTTGGCCATGCTCTTTGTCTTGGGAGTTTTTTCCTCTCAAGCTTCATCTCGCCTTTTGAACGAGCAAACCATGCTAGAAAGGCACGAGCAATGGATGGCACACCATGGACGTGTTTACAAGGATGTAAAAGAGAAGGATATAAGGTTTCAGATATTCAAGGAGAACGTGGAACGTATAAACGCCTTTAATGAAGGTGTAGATCGAGGATACAAGCTAAGTGTAAATCAATTTGCTGACCAAACCAACGAGGAGTTTTGTGCTTCTCGTAATGGTTACAAGAGGCAATCAATCGAAGTGATGTCTGTCTCAAAACCAACATCTTTTAGGTATGCAAATGTAACTGTTGTTCCATCTGTTATGGACTGGCGAAAGAAAGGTGCAGTTACCCCTGTGAAGGACCAAGGCCAGTGTGGTAAGCATTAGATATCTATATCTATATCAATCAAGATTTTAAATAGCGGTATAGCAAGATAATCAGTATAGATAACACTGTAGTGGTATCAAGACTAGAAAATGGGGTGACGTTGTTGTGAATATTTTAAAATCATTAGTCGCTGAAAAAGAGCTTTGTAGCGCTCGAAGCATCCACTGGTACACCGGAGTGTATTTATATTAAAAACATAAATAAGAGTAAATAGAAAATGAAGCCTATTATTGTCATGCCATTTTGTCAAAATATTGCAACCAACTTGATTGTAATTCTTTTTCTATTTGTTAACTTTTTTTTGTTGTTATCATGTATCTAGGATGTTGTTGGGCGTTTTCAGCAGTGGCATCTATGGAAGGTATTAACCAACTCAAAACTGGTAAACTAGTATCACTGTCTGAGCAAGAGATCGTTGATTGTGACGTTAAAGGTGTTGACCAAGGTTGTTACGGCGGTTTGATGGATAGCGCTTTCCAATTCATCAAACAAAATAAAGGTCTCACAACAGAAGCTAATTACCCTTACGTGGGACAAGATGGCACTTGCAATAGCAAGAAGGCAGCAACCCCCTCAGCCAAGATAACTGGGTATGAAGATGTGCCATCTAATAACGAGAAGGCTCTTCTGCAAGCAGTGGCCAACCATCCGGTTTCTGTTGCTATTGAAGCCAGTGGATACAACTTCCAGTTCTACTCAAGTGGCATCTTCTCTGGAACATGTGGCACAAACCTTGACCATGGTGTCACTGCGGTTGGATATGGAGCTATTGCTAATGGGACTAAGTACTGGCTAATTAAGAATTCATGGGGCTCTGGATGGGGCGAGAATGGATACATAAGGATGAAAAAAGATATTGCTGCAAAGGAAGGCCTATGTGGCATTGCTATGAAAGCTTCTTACCCAATTGTGTGAAAGAATAAAAGATTACTTGTGTTATATATAGCTTTTATGTTGGTCTCTCACCAACTAGGAGGTTGGAGCTCATTATAGCTCCAAACTCCTCTTTATTGATGTTTTCTATCATATGTTTTGTATATGTGGTTCATCAATAAAGTGTTCTTTTGCCGATCAAAAAAAAATATATAGCTTTTATGTGTAAAGTTCATGTACTTTGGATATATGTACATTCTAGTTTATGTGTGTCTCATTTGTCACATCTATATCACAATGTATAATTTCAGCAAAAAAAATGTATAGTTTGCTTTATAAAAGTGTGAAATATGTTTTTAAAGCTTTGTTTGACACTATTTATTGCGATAGTACAAAACTTCATCTTGCATATATTGACTAAGCTCCCACTATAGGCTAATAAATTCATGACTAGTGAGAATAAACTTGGAAACATTTAAAAAAAGAAAACATTATTTTTGCAGAAATTTCAAAGAAAATTTTAAATTAAAATGATGTCATCATAACATTTGTGGATGTAAATATTATTTGAGTAAATTACACTAATAGTCCTTATATAATTTGTCTTTTGTGTCAATTTACTTTTTGTATTTCTAATTGTAAAATATTTGACCTCAAGTTTTTTGGTTTGTGTAGGACAATCGATAACCGTTGTTACCTTTTCCGACGGAAAATGGTCATGTGCCAATCACATAGTTATTTTAAGGATAAAATTGACATTTCACATACCTTTTTTTTTTACAATCAACTACACCAAATCTCTCCTCTATCCCTCTCTTTCCTCTCAATTCACCAATCACTGAACCATCTCTCTCCTCTTCTTTTGCGATCGGTGGGTACCACCTCCCTCTCTTCTTCTTCCTCTTTTCCACTACCACCCACCACATCCTTTTACCCATGCTCCTCTTTCTCCTCATCATCATCCTCATCCCCTCACCATCACTCACTGTCGCTGACCACCCATCACTCATCCTTAGCAACCAGACCACCATTCCCACTCCGGGAAACCCATATCACCACCTTTACCACGCTTTCTCTTTATCTCTTACTCTCTCCATAATAAAAAAAATCCAATGTTTAAATATTCTACTGAATAGAGTGGCCCTACTCTAAAATCAAAACAAATTAAGAAATTTAATAATTCTAAATAGTTATATTAAATTATAAGAATCCTAATAAAATAATATATTAAAAATATTAAAATTAAAAATATAAAAATTCTTAAAATCTTATCCTACGTCAGATTCCTTTTCTTTGAAAGAACTCATTATCGAGTTCATATTAGAGATTTGCCATCGTCCATGCCAAATAAAAAGATATTTGGAACACTTTAATTGTTTGTCTCTCTTCAAAAAATTGTATGTAGAAGAGTCTACTTTCTGAAAGTTTTTCTATATATGCTTCAACTAGTTGACAAGACCAATCAGACAAACATTGAAAATCAAATTTACTTTCTCCATACCAGGAAAATAAAAAAAAAAATTACTTTATGTAGAACTTTCACGCTCTCTTGATTTTGCACCATCACAAAATCAATTGATTCTTCAATTATCAACCTTGGAACATCAAGTGTAGCATCAACCAATTTCTTTGTTGCACAAAATGGTTGTATTATATCTTCTTCTATTTTATCTTTGTTACTAAGCTCAATCGGATCTCCTTTTTCTTCGATGTTTTTATGATCTGTTTATAAAACTTTCTCTCCAACATTCAAATTACCAACTGTTGATGCATTATCAATACTCAAACTAGATTTTATATATCTTTCATTAGTTTTACCAACAATCTCACCACAAATAATATTTGGATGTGAAATCTTTTCTTTTGTAACTACAATTGTAAGGAAAAATTTTACAACCTCTATTGAAGAATCTTGATTTGTATATGACAAAATATCTTCATGATCATGACATTAAAATTTACATGCTAAAACATTTTCATTACTAGCCATGAACAGGTTTTGTTTTTACCTTCACGAACTCGATAATCTTGTAATCCATTCCACCACTTCAATGCAATTTTATCAAGTTTATAAGATGCAAATATAACTTTCTTTTCTTGAGGAATCTTCATGTATTCAAGGAAACTTTCAAGAAAATCTTATTACTTGAACCGTTAAGAAAATCTTCTTTTTGAAACTTCTTTGAACTGTTAAAATATAAAATTTCTGGCAAAAAAAAAAAAAAAACCAAAAAAAAAAAAAATGTAAGCAAAAAATCAAAACAAATTAAGAAACTTAATAATTCTAAAATATTTATATTAAATTGTAAGAATCCTAATCAAATAATATATTAAAAATATTAAAATTAAAAATATAAAAATTCTTAAATTCTTATCCTACGTCAGATTCCTTTTCTTTGAAAGAACTCATCATCGAGTTCATATTAGAGATATGCCATCGTCCATGCCAAATAAAAAGATATTTGGAACACTTCAATCATTTGTCTCTCTTCCAAAAATTGTATGTTGAAGAGTCTACTTTCTGAAAGTTTTTCTATATATGCTTCAACTAGTTGACAAGACCAATCAGACAAACATTGAAAATCAAATTTAATTTCTCCATACCAAGAAAATAAAAAGAAAATTACTTTATGTAGAACTTTCATGCTCTCTTGATTTTGCACCATCACAAAATCAATTGATTCTTCAATTATCAACCTTGGAACATCAAGTGTAGCATCAACCAATTTCTTTGTTGCACAAAATGGCTGTATTATATCTTCTTCTATTTTATCTTTATTACTTAGCTCAATCGGATCTCCTTCTTCTTCGATGTTTTTATGATCTGTTTATAAAACTTTCTCTCCAACATTCAAATTACCAACTATTGATGCATTGTCAATACTCAAACTAGATTTTATATATCTTTCATTAGTTTTACAAACAATCTCATCACAAATAATATTTGGATGTGAAATCTTTTCTTTTGTAACTACAATTGTAAGGAAAAATTTTACAACCTCTATTGAAGAATCTTGATTTGTATATGACAAAATATCTTCATGATCATGACATTAAAGTTTACATGCTAAAACTTTTTTCATTACTAACCATGAACAAGTTTTGTTTTTACCTTCACTGTTAGTAATGGGCGCCCATGTGGCATGACCATTTGAACATTATTTGGATCTTATCCAAATAGGTTTTGAATTAAATTCAAACCTATTTAGGATAACCACTCAGGATATAGATATTATCAGTTTTAACTGATATGGATAAATAATAATAATATAATATATATCTGATATATGGTTATGGGTAACCCAAGAGAGAAACAACGTAGGTTTTGTTTTTCAACCCATAAACTGACTCTCTCCCAAGAAACAACGATCAAGTCATTTTGCACTGTGGTTTGTGTGGGTGATATTCACCATTGTAATATCACCCCACTGCTGGGATTGATTGATTAGATTCTGGAAGCACGTGATTTATCCATGAGGTTTTAGATCGAATCAGGTATGATCTAAACATTTTATTCCGCTGCAAGTTTTGTGATCTAGATCTCATTTGGCGCCTGGAAGGCGAGCAAATAGAGAATTCGGGTTAGGCGCTAGAAAGCGACTAGACTAATATCTGTACGGTGTATCGAGTATGACGTCACTCTTTATGGAAGAGTTACTCCACCGTAGCATGTATTCATACTATATGTGCTTGGCGACCGAGTAATGAGGTGAGAGAATGGATCCCTGCTTCCTCACCGTGTGAGTCTTACGAGTCATTATTGATATGACTTTCATTTATGTACCCTTTTGTGACTTTTGACTATGTCATAAAGTAAGGGGGAAAATTAATTATGCAATACCAGAATCATTTTAAAGCATAAAAAATGAATTATTAACACAGAAAAAATATTTTTTATTTTCGTAAAATTTTCAAAATTTTACAGAATGTATAAAAATTAATTCCGAGTCTAAGGGTACCAACCATGCTTAAAACAAAGCTATAACGAATAAATTATGGCCAATTAACGCAGTTCAGAATTAAAAACAAACAAACAGAGCCTTAGAGCCAAGCCAGGTGGGAAAACGGCTCGGCTCGGCTCAGCGCCGCTCAGCGCAACTCGGACTATGTCATAAGGTAATGGGTTGATGTTCTGCTACTTTGGTATGTTACCTGCGGTCATGCATGATTCGGCCTTAAGGGACATCACTGGGAAAGCGGTCAATCCTAAACTAAATGGCATGAGTGCAAAGGGAAGATCATCTAGTATTACACCACTGTTGTATATTCACTGCCGGCAACTCACATCACTCTGTATGAGAGGCGAATTGAGTGTGAATATATTGCAAGAATTGAGAGGGTCAAACATGCTCTTTTGAGGGATTAGAGATGTTTTTTGGACTGGTGTAATTAGATGGGTCTGGGGTATATGAGACACTATTTCTTTTCTTTTTTGGGTTGATGTCTCTATGCTGGCTCATTTTGAGTTTCTAGTATAGAGCTCCCACATGCAGGTGTTCTCAGCAGTCGCACGGTGCAGTGGCTAGTATGAGATTGTTTATTTTTGGGAGATTGAGACAGAGATGTGGCAGTGTCATGCCAACTCATGTGCGAGTGGGAGATGTTAGTAATGGGTGCCCATGTGGCATGACCATTTGAACATTATTTGGATCTTATCCAAATAGGTTTTGAATTAAATTCAAACCTATTTAGGATAACCACTCAGGATATAGATATTATCAGTTTTAACTGATATGGATAAATAATAATAATATAATATATATCTGATATATGGTTATGGGTAACCTAAGAGAGAAACAACGTAGTTTTTGTTTTTCAACCCATAAACTGACTCTCTCCCAAGAAACAACGATCAAGTCATTTTGCACTGTGGTTTGTGTGGGTGATATTCACCATTGTAATATCACCCCACTACTGGGATTGATTGATTAGATTCTGGAAGCACGTGATTTATCCATGAGGTTTTAGATCGAATCAGGTATGATCTAAACATTTTATTCCGCTGCAAGTTTTGTGATCTTTGATTTACATTCACGAACTCGATAATCTTGTAATCCATTCCACCACTTCAATGCAATTTTATCAAGTTTATAAGATGCAAATATAACTTTCTTTCCTTGAGGAATCTTCATGTATTCAAGCAAACTTTCAAGAAAATCTTATTACTTGAACCGTTAAGAAAATCTTCTTTTTGAAACTTCTTTGAACTGTTAAAATATAATATTTCTGCAAAAAAAAAAAAAAAAAAAAAAAAAAACGTTGTGCTCTGTTTGTCTAAAAAAAAAAAACAAAACAAAAAAATAAAAAGAAATAT